GGCGCACTAAAACTCAGTCCCCTGCAGGGAGTGACGTTAGCTTATACCTAACTTTAGTCTGTTTACGCGAACACTAGTGCTAACTATTAACTGTGTATTTTGTTCGAAAAAAGCTAACTACTTTTGTGGGGCGATGGCCGCAAAAAAGTCAGACCTGGATACCTCTGCATTACATGTCAACTAACTTGTAACTAACTACTTTTGGACATAAAATATCAATAAGAAAAACAAAATATTTTTTTGTTTTTTTACTTTTTTATTTACTTATTTATTTACTTTATTTTAATACATTTCATATTTGTTTACATATTCTGCTCTGGGTGGCCCCATATTCGAACACCGTCAGACATAACTTCAAAATGATAGTATAAAATTTCGATCTTCCTTTTATTTGTCCTGAATATGAAAAAGAATCTGCGAAGTTCAGAAAAAAAAGTGTATTGAAAGTAATTTTTGTATGAGGATATTTAATAGAAACTTGTAAAGAAAACCAACTCCCGATTGGGTCTGCATGACTCCTGCACGACTTTACAATTCACTTTAAGTTGGTTTTGTCATAGCTAATTAAAAGTGAGGTATTAATCGAAATCTCGCCAAAAAGCTAAGTATAAGTTGGTTAGTTTTAACAATTGATAATTTTTCACTGCAGGGTCAAAACTCTCGCTATGTACATACATAGCAGTGAGTCAAAGCAGCAGTCTGCTGCGCTTCAAATTGTTTCTACAAAAAAAATTGTAAAAACTGGCTAACTTCCACAAAATCATATCTATAATTCATATCTCTAAATTGGCGAATAAATGCAGACATTAAATTGGCAAAAGACTGCGGCAGCAGCATCAGTTGGGTAGAAACTGTTGCATCAGCGGATGCAACAAAGTATGTATGTACTTTGGAAATTACAAGGACAGTTGGCAACTTCCGTCTGTTTGTGTGCTGTGTGGAAGCGCTTTGAATGGCGGCGAGTCACTTCTGCTATTTTACATACATACATATACATACATATGTACATACTTCATTTTTGTTTTCTTTGGCGAAAAATGTGTCAAGCGTGTATGCTGGGAACTGCTGTCACAACTTTATGCTTCCCTTTAAGATTGTTGCTGGCGATAGATAGTGTTTTTTTGTCTTGCCATTGTTGTTGGCATCGTGTTTATTGTGGCAATAAATTCATAAATCAGATTTGACTATGAAATTTCCCTTAATAGTTAATTTGAAATGCACAAAAAATACAATGAAAAACTAGTCGTAAAACATTTTTTATGCAGATAGATTTGGTTTGATGGACAATTGGTTAATAAATAGAGTTCAAATTTATGTTTTCAAGTCAATCGCTTAGACATTAAAATGTAAATTGACTGCTTAGTCTTAGGAAATAATTGGCCAGTATACAAAGGCCATCAATTTGTGTTGCGTTATTCCTTGCGATTGGTTTGGATTTGGGTTTCAATCAATATTAAGAATTGAATTTGCGCTTTAGCGGACTGTATTTTACTAAAAACTAAAAAAAAAACTAAAATTTGAAAACAAGATCGAGTGAAAAAATATGGTTTATTTGGAATACCGATTCAATATTTATCCAGAATTATTAGGTTTGTTATTTATCATTCCTCTTAACCAAATGTTTTTGTATGTTTTTGTAAGTGCAAGAATTGTTTGTCTCTAAAAAAAGTAAGGGGTTTCCACATTTCGGCATCACAAGTTAGCTTATCGTCGTATCATTCAGCACTGGAAGGAGCAGGGCCGTCGAGAGCTGGGCCAGGCCTCAGGGAAGATGTCAACGGCGAACACTTTGACTTCAAACCTTTTTTTTCGTAAATCTCCGGTATCTTTCTGAGGGTTTATTTAGCATTAAATCTATACTTAATTATAAGGGCTTAGACAATATATTTATAGCACAAAGTACGCCTATATTTTTATAAAGATAATTTACTTGGTATACAAGATTATTAAGGTGTATTCAAAACATTTCGTCGTTTTATGCCTTTGGTCACCTAAAATGCGTTTTCAAACCAAAAAAAAAAGATAAAAAGTATTAACAGCTTATTGTGCGCTGGTAACTAAAGCTTCCTTAACTGAGAACTAAATTTCCTGTTTCAGTTTTTGTTAATACAATTTTTAATAGAATAAACTATAGTCTCATTCTTATGTAAATTTAGTAGCGAAAAAACTTTGGGATTTTCGGTATGCAAACATAGAGATGACGGATTCAAATTCAGTGGTATGAACCAGAGATGATTCGAATGCCAAACTTCTGAGACTAGTTAATCTATATTGGTTCATCATAGAAGAGAATATTTCAGCAACAGTCATTCTTCAATTCGTCCGTCTTCAATTCATCTAATTCATTTAAGAGTCGGAATAGAGGTAAATGTTGGGTCCATAGCGAATAGTCTTTAAATGTCTAATTTCTTCGATAAAATCGATAGAAAGATCTACCTCGTAAGCCTCACAAGAGGACTCCGGTGTGTTTCTACGTTTGCCTAAAGATATTTCCAAAAACAAAAAAAAATATTTATTAAAGTTTCTTGAAAACACCAAATCGTCTCGTCATGTTTCCAATAAGGCACTCCAGAAAACCTCTCGCCTCAGAACTTGATGTAACTTTTCATTCTTTCAGAATCGATAACAACCGATTTCTAAAAACTTGAGATCTTCAATTAAATTCTCTGGCTTGAAAAAGATGCTACTTGATGCGCGTTTTATGCAATCATTGGAATCTGGGTTAAATAATTTAAATAATTTTCAACATTTCGCAGTAGTTGCGATTTTGAACAAAAATTAAACAACAAAAGCAATTTAGACTTTATTAAATGATCTTTATTCAACATGAAAATGCACACACTTTATAAATAAATAAACAAATTCTTAGTTTTATATGTATGTATGTAGTGTGTATGTGCACACTTATGTATAAAAATAAACATTTACTTTGACCAACGCCAAACGGCAAGCTGTCTGGCTTTTCTCACAATATTTTAGTATGAATTTGTTTCTAAATATAAACAAACTGGAAATAAAACACGTTATATTAGTAAAAATGAACAAAAGCAAATAATAAATGAATTTTCATATGCACACTTTTAAAAACTAAGGAATATTCGAATATTTTTAACACAGTTTACTTAAGTAGATATGTACTTAAGTACATAAACATAAACAACCGAATTATTTTTGTACTTTGCTGGCACACGCATGTTATTAACCCTTTGCCAACATTTGTACAATATGTATGTATATCGTCCAAATTTTTTGCAACATTTGACGATTTTTTTAGCTTTTATAGAACTTTTTTTTTAATTTTATCGCCCAACCGCACTAATATTTGTTTTATTTTCAAATGATATCACTGAAGACAAGGGGTTTTCTGATAAAAAAGAATCAGCATAAGAAAAACGAAAAAGTTCAAAAACAGCATCGAAAATCTGATTATTATGATTACGTAGGAAATTTTTTTTAAATATTTTTATGCAAATTTTTAAGTTTAAACTGTTTAGCCATCTGAGGGAATTTTTTTCAAAAAATATTAACAAAACTGTTTTTTTTTTTTTTTAATAAAAAACTCAATTTTTGGAGGTATTTTCAAATTGGTCCAGTTCACGTAAATCTTAATATTTTTGCGAGATATTTTAGTGGAATTCCAGTGGTAAAACAGTACCGATTTTTTTTTTGTTTTTTGTATGAGGTGTGATGCACTCTACTGTGCATAAGTTGACTATGATTACTGTGCCGAGATATCATAGTAGCACAATGCCACTAAGTGCATTTGAAAATTTTCAGGCAATAGCCTCATGCGATTATCGACTATATTTTTTGTTGTTTAGCTAATGTTTTATTGTTATCAGTATTTTTCTTTTAATCATAATATGTTGAAATAAAAGTGAAAAAAAAATATTTCGCTGGAGAAATTTATCAGAAATGTGTAAACGAGTTTCCATAAAAATTTTGACAGTTCATTTATAAGGTTTTCAAAATTATATGCATACACACTACATTCTTAGTCGAATTCGTAGCATTTACTTTTGGAATTGTTAATAAAAAATCCAGGCATCAACCAATATGATCTAATACTAGTTTTCCTAACGGGCATACCTGTAGGCTACAAGAAGCAATTCGCCTTCGATGCGAACTATTAACTCACAATTGAAATGTGTTTGGCCTACTTTAAGCTTTTAGCTCTAAATAAACTCAAAAATTTATTTTCCTGCGCATTCTTAACGTAGATAAATTTACACGTCAATGTGTTGTTTTACAACTTCGACGATTAGAAATATATAAAAAAAAAATTTGTGTTCATTTAAATGGGCAATGTTGAGTGATTTATGGGATTTCATGCATAAGCAGGGGCTGTATAATTTTGTTAGAGATCAGATGCATTACAAAAAGGTAAAATCTGTAGCATATGTTGGGGAGATGATTTTATTTAGTTCATTGAAAA